TGCGGCTCCTACAGAGTGCCAAGCCTATAGCTGATGAGCAGCAGAAGCCTCGGGGCTGGAGTCTGTGATGTCCACCTGGAGGGCACGCGGCTGCCGGGGCTTCCTGCTGGCCTATCTCCTGGCTGAGGGGCCAGGGAGCATTCACAGCAGAAGGAAAGTGGAATTTGCAGCCTCCACCCTTTTTATAATCTGCAGTCATTTTAGAATCCGCACTCACCTGGGTTTTTTTGGTTTTGTTTTTGTTTTGTTTTTGGTGGAAGCAGGGATTGAACTCAAACCCTTGTGCTTGCCAGGGAAGCACTTATTCCACTGAGCCAGCTCCCCAGCCCCTCACCTGTACTTGAGGGTGGAGCCCTGTGACCCAATCCCCACAAAGGTGCTGCCCATCAGCCCTGTTGCATGGAGGTCCCAGTGCATGAGCTCTGGGCCAGTCAGGCCAGGTGGAAGGAACTTCAGACGAGTCCGCAGGGAGCCTGGGCTGAGCAGGGTGATGTGGAGGTTCCGCTTTGTTGCAGAAACTGGAGCCAGCCCTTCTCCTGGGAGCGTAGGAACCTGGCTGCTCCTGGAGGCCATCATGGTCTTCATTGTTTCTAAAAGAACGGGGGAAAAAAAAAGCAAAGCTGGTAGGACCACAATCGTGTTGGCCAATCCTCAGCTTCTCGTCCCCTGATTTTACTTACCTGCGATCTTAGTTAAACAGAAAGTTTCACGTTTTGAGAGAAAAAGACTGCACTTCCCTAACTTAATTATTATGATGTGGGCCTAGGGAGATGGCTCAGTAGAATCAATGCTTGCCTGGCAAGCACAAGGGCCTGAGTTCAATCCCTGGCTCCACCAAAGGGGGAAAAAATTACATGGTTGTAATTGTTGTAGTTTATTGAGGGCTGTGGCTACTCCAGCCCTGCCTAGCTTGGAAAGTGAGCTTCTCACAGGTGCTGTGTGTGCAGCTGGAGGAGAGCTAGCCGGGAAATCCCAGAACCCAGAAGGCTCCAGCCTGGAGCACAGACCTGGAGGTGCCCATGCAAAATTCCGTGCCTGACCTCATGCAGTGGGTCGTGGCCACCATGTGGCCTTGCTGAAGAGACTGCATAACACGACCTTCGGGGGTGGGGTGGCTCAGCTGAAGAACGTGCGCGTGCAGAGCCCAGGGTTCACACCCCAACGCCGCCAAAGCAAAGGCGCCTTCCAGTGTCTGGGAGACAGCAACAGTCCCACAGTTAGCCTTAGGGCCCGTGCTGACTGCCACCTCACGCGCACATTCGGGATCAGACGTGCTTCTGGCCTCAAGCACTTTGGATAAAGGATGCTCAGCCCTATGGGAAAGAAACACGATTCAGACGGGGTTCGCTGTTGTCTCAGCTTCCGGGACAGGCTGGGGCATCTTGGGACCCCTTGTGGCTAAGTGGGACCACTATGCAGCGGCTTCTGACCATTTCCACCGCAGTCACTTCATAAGATGGTTCTTTCCGTCGTTGCCAAGACTTCTGCGTCCAGGTTCCATCTCTGCTCTCATCTCTTTGCAGAGAGATCGTAGATAACACCAGCAAGGAGAACGGGATCGACATCATCATGGGCGACCGGACTTTCCACCTGATCGCTGAGTCTCCGGAAGATGCCAGGTGAGTTGTGACCCATGACGCCGTCCCGAGCATGTCCGTCCTCACCCTGCTGGCTCTGAGAGGGCTCAGCTGACCCCACAGGGGGCCTTTCTCTAAGGACGGCCTGAGCACTGAGTCACAGGAGAAGCGAGCCCCATGTGTCAGGGACTCCTTCCTGGGCACAGTGTGGGTCCGCGCCCCCAGCCGCCCAGCGCCTGCCTCCACACGGGCTGTTCATGTCAGCTGGGGCCCATAGTGTGCGAGCTAAGCTCAGGGCGCCCTCGAGAACACCAAGCCTCGAATGCAAACAGCTCAGATGTGCAAAAGGATCTAAAGAACAGTAGCATTAGCTGGTGGCTACATGCAGGATGATGCGGAAGCATTCAGAGGTTTTAAAGGTCTCCTCGTGTCGGCAAGCTGTAGAACACGCACTAACTTACGTGGTGCTGTGGGCAGCACGCAGAGGCGCGCGTGTGTGAGTTTGTTTAGCCCTCACGTGGTCCTGCTGGCTCAGCCTTGTGGTTACCACGGCCTGCACCTTAGAGTAGAAGGAGGGTACGAAGAAGGGCTGCGTTCCGCTGGGCGGAGGCGTTAGGCCCCCCGCGCTTCTTCCTCGGGGAGCTTAGGTGTTCACCCAGACAAGAGGAAGGTGGTGCTCCCGCTGCCGGACCGCACTGCCTGATGCTCTGACCCTCAGGTGGCAGCGTCGGGGTGCTTAGGGCCGCGGCGCTGTGCTTTTCCTCATCACTACAACAGAATACCCAATTTACACAATTTAAAAGAGCAGCGGCTAGGGCCAGCCAAATAGCTTAGCGGATTAAAGCGCCTGCTTAGGCAGACACAGGGGCTGGGGGTTGGATTCCCGTGTGCCGTGCTGGCTCTGCCCCTCCGGGGCGCACTGAGACAGTGATTAAGACTGGGTGTGGTGGCGCACGCCTGTAATCCCAGCACTTGGGAGGCTGAAAACGGGAGGATCACTACAAATCCAATCTGTGTAGC